ATGCAGCTGACACGTAATGGAAACGACCGTTGGTTTCAGCTACACACTGCACCTGATCCTGACAAAGCACTCATGCATGGCTCCTGATTACGGCAAGGTTCTCATGGCACCTGATCATGACAAGGCTCTTTGAAGTATTTGCTCAGATCACAATAAATTGTGTTAGGCACAGCGGCCAAAGACTTGCTGTGTATGCAGGTCACACAAGTAACTTTTGGCAGAGTTCCAATTGATGAACTTTCCCTCTTCATGGACTCGTAAGACAGTTCCTAAACTGAGATTCGGTAGAGCTGAATTCCCGGCGCCATCACATCTTCATCGTATAAATCTTTCTCGTAAACCCGCGAAGCTCTCAATAATTCTGTTTTTCACTTTTTCAAGTTTTATTCTATATAACAATATATATTGGATGAGAGTTTTTGCTATTGAAGACAAGAAAATAAAAAGCAAAACAAAACCTTTATTAAATAGAATTCAGGCAGTTTTGGCGAAACGTGCAAATAACTCTAAATTCCTTTCTAATTCTCAAACCACGCCATTTCGTTTATCGCTTATAATCCTTGCCGTGGAAATGTTTCAGTAGCTTTTTCCAATATACTGCACATATAATAAGAAAACTCCAGCTTTTTTTCTATTGTTTTTCTCGTAATTTTCTCAGTCGCTCGCTTCATTTCCTGCCGCCTGCAAGAAGACCGGAGAGCATCCCGTGTTTTTGTGATGCATTTCGAAACCAATACTCGTTGTTTCTATCCCGTATAATCTCTGCTTAGCAACTATACATTGGCTGCTTGAACGACAAAAGCGGCCGCGCATTTGTTGCGTCATCAACAAACGCAATTCCCTGGGAGAAATGGGAAGCAATCACACGGTTTCTTGCAGCGTAATACTGCTTGCGTTTACAAGTGGGAACCTTGTGTACTGTCGGTAATACATATATGCTTTCAACGTGGCTAAAAAATTGTGTATCGTGTTTACCTTTCTCTTTGGTAATGACAGGTTGCGGTGGTTTCCGGCTCTACCAGCGGGAGGTAAAAGCCAGCGCCGTGTAAATGATTTAAGAATGATCGTTACACTTTAGCTGTCATGGGAAGCAAGTTTGATTCGACGTCTTACATGTGAGCTCGAATTATACAATAGAATGTGTAGACTTGAATGAATACAATGTTCAAACATTTGTCAACTACGGTATCTCCAGTTACTTAATTTGTACTTTGATGTGAAAGACATTTTTCGAGTTTATGAATATCTGTAGGCAATAGATCAAGCATGAATGGTCAACAGGTAATTAGAAGTGGAGGAATGAACCTCAAAAAAGCCTATTGCGCCTTTGCCTTCAATGCCCTAAAACTCAGAGTATTTAATTAAGTTACCAGAATAATAATTAAGTTACCAGAATAATAATTAAGTTACCAGAATAATAATTAATCTACCGTAATAAATTGTTTAGGAAGATCTAAACATTAAACATTCTAAGAATCACGTCCTATTAGAATTAATAACAATTGAATTATAGTAATATTAACTTATTAATGCGATATTTATATTTACTGAATTTTACTTATGGTCACTATAGTATGAGTGAAGTGATCACCATATCACCTGCCGATTATGCAAAGCGTGAATTCGCCACAATCCAATTAATTTATTAAAGGTAACAAATAATTACATAATTGCGTCGTGAAAAATATCGTTTATTGTAGGCTTCAGATGTGCGACATTAGAAGTTTATACTCACAAGTAAGTGGTCTCTACAAATAACAGCTAAATAGAAATCGCTATAATAATTGTAGTTAGGAGGCTTATATCCCAGCAAACATCTGACGTCGAAACGACGTTGAATTAAACGTTGTTAGGTTGAATTAACGATAGTTATACATTATCTCAACGTTATTTACCTAATGCTTCTGGCGTTCGCGGAAGCTGCTGCTCCCTTCATGTAATTAAAGTTTTTTTTTTAATTTGACATGATTTACGAGATCCATGTTGTTATTACATTTCATTCCTTACTAATTTTCTATTTGGCGAAGGATGAGCTGTTCATCCTCTAGATTACCTTAATTGAAATAATCCCGAATAAATACAAGGTTTTACTGCCTCCCTACACAAAGGGATTACGATGCTTCTTAATTTGAAGGCTTCTACACAAGTTTAACAGTGAAAGTTTGATCGCAAACATTTTGTTTGGTATTGAGTAAGAGATGGAAATGCCATGGACGCGAGAAAGTTTCCGAGAAGTGACTTGACTTCGCAAACTTCCTGCGAGGCATGTTAATCTTTGACATGTAAATCTTAATTGCAAATAAATAGTGTAATTATTAATGTGTAATGTGTGTAACACTGTTTCAAATAGTGTAATTTTTCAGGTAACTTTCAGAACGGAATTTCATAATATTCATCATTGCTAATATATAGATATACACAATCATTCACGATACTGGTTATTTATTTGCCAAGAACAATTGATGTTCATCATTCATAAGATGTATAATCATTCGTTCGTCTCTATTTATTTTCTTATAATACTGCTTGTTATCAAAGCTGCAATGACAATCATACTTTTACTCATACTTATGAGTATTAGTGTAGTTAGGTAGAAGCTGTTCTTTCTCTACCTTTACTGTAGATATGTTGACGACATTTTTGTCATTGTTCGGGACAGAGATCACTTAACGGAGCTACGCGTGGCTTTAGAACTCAACTCTGTTTTGACGTTCACTTCCGGATTTGGACAAGATCACAAAAAAAAATCTTTGTGGTTCCTTGATATACTGGTGCAGAATGACAATAATTCGTTCATCTAGAAAACTTATCGGAAACTTACAAACGTTGGAAAGGTCCAAGATGCATGAAGAAAGGCAATGCCCGCAGCGCTGCAAAATCAGCACCATACGCGCCCTGATACTTCGAGCGTATAAAACCTGTACATTCGCTCGTGACTTGAAAACTGAACTTCGAACCTGCAAGAAAATTCTCGTGAACAATGGTTATGAAAACAAGACTATCGACACCGAAATTTCAAATCGTCGAGCACGGCAAAACCAAACAGATACATTCGCATCAAATGATAGCGTCACAAGAATTTACTATCAAGACCAGATGAACAACGGTTATAGGACAGACAAGTGAGTCAAGTTCTCAATTCAACTGTGCAAAATAATATCAGCTGCAAAACAGTAACTGAACAAATCAAATTCTTGATTTACTACAGAAACAAAAAGATCAAGAATTTAAAATTGAAAAATAATCCATGTAAAAAGTCCGGACCGCTGATAGAAACCAAGTTGTTTTTATTTGCAAATTTCCCTGCTTGAAAGAAGGTTGTAGACTTCTCCAAAATGTAAACTACATCGGGCTGATCAGCACGACATTGAGCCGCAGACTCACATGCCATCTACAAGCTGGAGGACCAAAGACCCGTATGCGGGAGGCCCACAACGAGACCATCACCGGTGCCACGTTGGAGGCCTGCACCAGCATCGTCATGCGGTGCCCCGACGCTGCGAGACTAGCGATAGCGGAGGCTCTCATCATCAAGGACGAGTCTCCTGCTATCAAACCACCGGATTTGTCGGGACGCTGAAATTAACCTCGGATTTTGAACCGTATCTGAGATAACCTTTGCATTTACTTACAGTATATCATTTCCAAATTTCAATTTTAAGCGTTGTAAATAACTCTTCACCTACTTAATTATATTCCATAATCTAAACGCTGTGAATTTTAATAAAATATCTCTGGGAAACCTTACATTCGAACTTTCCTTTCCCACAAAAAGCTTGATTCGCCAAATAGAGAAAAGCAATAAGAAAATTATCGATAAGATGTACTTCAATGATACTGATAAGTGCATATAAAACAACAATCATATATACTCGTAGCAAATAATAATACCAACACGAATTGAATTTTCACCCTTACTCAATATAAATAATCGTACAGGATATTATTACTCATTATATTAATAAGTTTTAATTCTTTCTTACCTTACCTAGTCAATTATTATTTTCTAATTTTTATTTATTCGAGGAATTTGCAGCCTTTGCACGTCTCTGGCTCGTCGCTGGATTAGATGTTACCGCCTCAGGCGCTGCACGCGATTCTTGCCTCACACCTGATACAGGCAGAGATATAACATAACATAACATAGTGATATCGGCGCTGAAGTGTAGGCCTGATGTGGCCTGTCGCCGATTCTTTTCCTTTTCGTGCCTTGTTCATAGATCTAAACTCGTGTCATTTGACCGGATCTTTTCATGACTGACGATAGTTTACTGCACTCACAACAAGCTATGCTTCATTTTGTCCAAATAGCGACTAGCTCGCCACTTTGCTACCAACAGCACGATCAGTAAGCGGGCTTTTTAATAATGATACGACCTTTGCCGGAACAAGATGGCCTACACAAGAGCAAATTGCACATTGTTATTTAGACAAAATCATACTCATTTCTTTGACTGCGCGTTCACTGCCCTGATGTCAGGCCATTTATCGAACTATCAGCATTTAGCGTCATTGTCAGCTTCATTATGCGGCATTCGTCGTCAGCGCCAATATATTATTAGCATATGGGCTGGCGTCAGGACGTGTTACGCAGAATGAAAGTGGTTATGATGACGCAGCGCAGGTTACGTCACGTGATGTCGTAAGCTGTAATAACGAGCGCCTCATGACCGCCTTACGACATACGTTCTGCACTGCTGCTGCTGCCATTTTGCCGTCAGTGGTAAAAACTATAATACTGTCAATAGTAATAGCGCCTTACCGTCAATAATACTAACGCTTTTACCGTCAATAGCAGGAGCGCTATTAACTTTTACAATTACAGTATTAGTAAATTTAAATTAGGCATTAATTAGTAGACAATTAATTATTAATTAATCATTAGAAGCGCAGGAAAAAGCAAGTAATGTAAGTATGGAAGTAATCCATAAGAAGCGCTGAGCAGGATTAATGGATTACTTCTTCACCTTTCCCGCGTGACGAAGCAACTTGTCGCTCACCACGCGATGGTCTGTGACGTGTGCTGACTTGTGACGGTGACTGTGAGGTAAACAACGATAAACATGACTTAAACATGGGTGTAATTATGTTCATGCCTTGGGTTAACATGGGCTAACATGTGTTAAATATGGGTTATATGTGTAATTATCCCAGCCTTGATGAGGCTTGACATCTTGAGTTAAAATACGGGTTAAAAAATATTTTGAACAGGGAATAAATATCCTTGGAGTCATGAATAATTTTTTAATCATCCATGTCTCTAAATTATCGGCATTTAAGATTCTAAAATGGATGACATTTCTGTTCTCTAAAATGAGATCAACGTACGATGTTCTTCTCGCGCCACGAAACTGTATAACTTCATAAAATTATGAGCGTTTCGTTGTATGATCTTTTTCTGAAGTGGATTTCTCGTTGCATTCTAAGCGAAAAAAAATTATGACGATTTCTATTTGATTTCGCGTTCATCTTTCGGCCTGACGAACTGCTCTGCTCGTCCACACAATTTCTCTAGACCTGACGAACTGCTCTGCACGCCCACGACATTTCTCTTATTCTTAATTTTTTTAAATCCGAAATCCGACGAATCCCGACGTCAGAAATGCGAAGGAAATTGCAATTCTCATGAGAACCGAACCGATCGCAAGTGTGGCGGCCGGTCGTATGTGTGCAACCGTCTTACGACACTACGATTCCCCCCGCACCTTACGACACTGCGATCTTTACGTGTCCGTATATTCAGTGTACGACGGTACAACATCCTTCCGATTGTACGGCCCCGATGCGACCGTATATACGGCCCCTATATAACCATACGACTCCCGTACGACCCGCAAACGGCAGATATGATGAATCTCGAGTAGGTTTAAAAACGAGAATTTTTTTCTATTAAATTGATATATGAGTTTATAAATTTTTAAGTATTTTTTCAGAATAATGAAATCATACGATTATGTCCTGTGTTTTCTTTCACGAAGCTTCATACAATTTCAGCAGTAATTGTAATACCGTCGTTACGCTACCATTAGTTTGCGGTTCACTTCTTCCGTGTCGATCAAAGTTAAGAGATCTCGAGGTTTTCTTCAAATATTTAATCGCTTCCCAATTTTCAAGTTTCTTTTCATGAAGAACTGTAAAAAATGTTACCGCTTTGTACCAGAAATTCAGCGATTTTAGCTTATTTACGTGTATACTAGGTGAAATATGATTTGAAAAATGAAAATAATTCAAGACTCAGACCCAGAATGAAGAAAATGGTCCGTCATCCTTAATTCATCGAGTTATTCACATCCAAATTTTGGAGTCAATTTGCCAATTTATTGTAAATTTTCGTAAAATTTACGACCAAAGAAAAATTTTCGTATAATCGAAAAATTCGAAAGAACTTTTCGATTATACGCTCTCGGGAACTGGAGCACCGGACGACACGTCGCGTCACTAGAAAGCTCTCCGTCAATTTTCCAGCCCGGAAGAAAAGCGCGGATGCTTTGCTGCACTGCAAAAACACGCCCGCATTTCGACACATTTGCGAAATTTCCACGGCCGGCGGTTCGCAAAAAAAATGTGGTTAGTGCTAGAATCCAGGAGATGCCTAAACGAACAGACGAAGTAAATTATTGCATTTCGTTGGCGTGATTAGAGTTTGCCAAAACGAGATAAAAGTTGACATTTATTTATTTATTGAATCATGAATTAAATTCCGAATTCTCAATTATTTTCTTTATTCGTATAACAATAAGCAAACATACATGTATACTTGACAAATATTTTTAATATATCATAAAAATTTTAAAGGTTTACAAACTTATGTAAGTCAAGATAAATAGCAGCTGAGGCAGCCATCCGCATACCCAAAGCTTTTCTGTCCATCATCCAATTCCAAATTCCATCAAATGAATTTCTTTGTGACCGCTTTCACTCTGCCTATAATGATGCTCATGTCGCGTGTGACAGTCATGCTTGCAGCATTGAAGCATGTCAGTTCAATAGACAATTTCTCACCTCTGGGAGCTGGCTGGCCATTAATTGAGATCTCATGAGTCCGTGTCGCCACTGAAGCAGCACGCCACCGTATACCCTGTCGCTGCTTTCGAAAGTTCACGCGTGCAAATCATCTTGCATTGTTCAGCTTGTCTCCGAGGCCGATGAACTTTGTTTTTGAGGTTGATTCTTCACTATATTGCATGGTTAACACACATACCCTACATTGTTCGTCTTGTCTTTGTACAAAAATATGGACTCAATCAGGCGGTGAATAGTTTTCTTGACAATTGGTAAATCATTGTTTGATTCAGTATGTTTTTCAGTCAGCAGTTCAGCCCTGGATTGCCAATGATTTATTACAGCAAGAATAATGTGTATTTTTTACCTTGTGCCCTCATTCTGGTCAGAGACTACACACGCGCCATAGTGCAGGTCACTCAATAGGAATACAATTTCTCGACCATCAACCTTGCAATCTCACCAACGACCTCTGGTAAAGCTGCCTAAAATAACGTCGTGACTGAAATAAAGGGCCGTTATTTTAGTCAAGTCATCGGCAAGAACCGTCGGAGATCAGCGTGTTTGCATAACGTCATTGCCGTGCCGTTATTTCAGTGAAGTCATCGGTAAGAGCCATGCAGGCAGCGGCTCATTCAATATGGCGTCATCCTCGGCAGGTCAAGAACGAATTAGCCTTCCTTTCTAATGACATCGCCGCCCAGCGCGGCGATTATTCTGTTGCGAGGATAATAGATTTTAGTCATCATGCATCGTCATCTAGTTTTGGCCACGAGGGGTAGAAAGGAATTCAACCTTATTTTTATTTGATTCGTTTTCATTTCAATGTCTTTGTATTCCCCCGACGCTTGATCGCAGGTTGTTGTGGCAACGATATTCATCGATACGACGCTAAAAAACCTCTTGTATTTCTTGTAATTGTGTTACGTAACAAAAAAAGCTACACCATTATCATTTTTTTGTAGCTGCGCACTTTATTTCGCACTGCCTGTTGTATCCTCTGGCCATATATTCCGGGGAATAAAAAGTGTCAGTGAAAGCACGGATCAGTCTTCATTAGTACTGGAGAGCAAGCTGTGTCAAACTCCGGACTTTCGGATGAAAGTGACGGGTATAACTGATCCTGATGGAAGCCTCATCTTGTGCTGCCGTGCTACGCTGAGTAGCAGCTGTTAGGACTCGAGAAGACATTCATCCTGGCGTCCAGCCGCTCACTTCGCTTTGTGCTTCTAAAGAACCATTGAGTTTGCATCGGCGCTTGTTGCTCGAGGAACCATTGAGTATGCGACGGTACTTGGAGCTTGAGGAACCATTGCGTATGCAACGGCAATTGGAGCTCAAGAAACCATTGAGTATGCGACGGCACTTGTAGCTCGAGGAATCATTGAGTATGCGACGGTACTTGTAGCTCGAGGAACCATTGAGTATGCGACGGTACGTGGAGCTTGAAGAACCATTGAGTATGCGACGGCACTTGGAGCTCGAGGAACCATTGAGTATGAGACGGTACTTGGAGCTCGAGGCACCATTGAGTATGCGACGGTACTTGGAGCTCGAGGAACCATTGAGTATGCGACGGTACTTGGAGCTCGAGGAACCATTGAGTATGCGACGGCACTTGGAGCTCGAGAAACCATTGAGTTTGCAGCGGCGCTTGTAGCTCGAGCAACCATTAAGTATGCGACGGTACTTGGAGCTCGAGGAACTATCGAGTATAAGACGGTACTTGGAGCTCGAGGAATATTGAGTATGCGACGGTACGTGGAGCTCGAGGAACCATTGAGTTTGCAGCGGCGCTTGTTGCTCGAGGAACTATCGAGTATGAGACGGTACTTAGAGCTCGAGGAATCATTGAGTATGATACGGTACTCGGAGATTGAGGAACCATTGAGTATGCGACGGTACTTGGAGCTCGAGGAACCATCGAGTATGCGACGGGACTTGGAGCTCGAGGAACCATCGAGTATGCGACGGTACTTGGAGCTCGAGGAACCATCGAGTATGCGACGGTACTTGGAGCTTGAGGAATCATGCATCGGGTATGCGACGGTACCTGGAGCTCGAGGAACCGTCGAGTGTGCGATGGCACTTGGAGCTTAAGGAACCATTAGCGTAATTATTGTATTATTAAATATTTTCTGCGATTACTTGACATGATTAATTGAAAGGCGTTCAACCTCGCGTTGGATGGAAGTCGAAAGCCTGGTCCGAAAATACAATGATGATTAAAATATGCATAATTGTGAGCTGCAAGCGACGTGTACGCGGCAAGCAATGTGTGCACTGCAAGAGATGTGTGCATTGCAAGCGATGTGTGCACTGCAAGCGCTGTGTACACTGCAAGCGCTGTGTACACTGCAAGCGATGTGTGCACTGCAAGCGCTGTGTACACTGCAAGCGCTGTGTACACTGCAAGCGATGTGTGCACTGCAAGCGATGTGTACACTGCAAGCGCTGTGTACACTGCAAGCGCTGTGTACACTGCAAGAGATGTGTGCACTGCAAGCGCTGTGTACACTGCAAGCGCTGTGTACACTGCAAGCGATGTGTGCACTGCAAGCGCTGTGTACACTGCAAGCGCTGTGTACACTGCAAGCGATGTGTGCACTGCAAGCGATGTGTACACTGCAAGCGCTGTGTACACTGCAAGCG